CTCAAAATTTGGATAGAAGTTTTAAATGTCATGTTGGGTTAGTACAACAACTTGGCTAGTTGCTTAATTCAATAAAATCTGATGAAATTGAGCGATAAATTATGATTTCGTGCAAGTTTTTCATCAAGGGAACTGATATATTTAGGTGTAAAACATAGTCAAGACTTTAGAATAATGTAAAAGGCTTAACATAATGTGTTTTGGTCATGTGATTCTTTTCTTGCAAAGGCAAAGCGAAGATTAAATTGATAAAGAGAGTATTACCAAAGTTCGACAATTTAGTCATAATTTAACTTGATTCAACTCCGCGCTGCAAGTTAAATTTGACAATTTTCTTGTTTTTAAGTCTACTTGCATGTGCTAATAAAAAAAAAATTTCTACATGTGGATCCATTATCTTGGTTTAATTTGTCAAATTATACGCCCTTTTACTAGACAAATTTCTTTGTGCAAGTATTTCCTTTTACATTTAAACGTGTTTTTTTTTTATTTTTTTACTTTTAAAATAAATGCTAAGTAATCAAAAGATAAAAAGACTAATTAAATAACAAAATGTATACATCGGAGCAGCCGAATGGGAATCCGGGTTTCTGTTGTTCAATTAATATAGGGAAAGCAAAAGCCCTATCTCACTATTAGAAAAAGGCAAAACGACGTAATTTGGTCATATGTGTCGTTTGGTCAATTGTGGGCTAATGATCGACATGGAAAATTGACTTTATTACTAGCGGAAAAAGTTGGCATTTCATCCAAATTCAAACCTCATGCTGAATTTATCCACCATATTTTTAACTCATTTCGTCTTTTATTTTTTTGGTAGAATAAAATTTTTAGAGTTAGATAAGTTATTTAATTTTTTAAATTAAGATAAAAATTTATTATATTTGATAGTTTAAAATAAATAATTATAAGTCATATATTCAAGATAATTTCAACAAACAACATCGATATGATTTAAATTTAAAATTTTTTTATAAAAAAAAATATATCTTAACCAATTAAACTAACCACTTATTAATATTTTATCTTTTATTTCAAATATAAGAAGCTGCCTCTTATCTTAGCTTAGTTATAAAGAAGTTTTAAAAAATTATGAAGATCAAGGTTTTAAATTTAAGTCTTATTATTTATAAGTTTATTTTTATTTTATATTAAATTTATTTAGTTATTAACGAATTTATTGATTAATTATTTAGTGATTTTTTTTTATAAATGAATGTAATATTCAATTTTAATGATTTCATTTTTGTACTTATAATTTAATTAAAAAAAAAATGAGAAGGTGCTCTTTCCAAAGCATGATCTACATATTTGTAATTTTGTTGAATTGCATGATGGGTGTTAGGACAAAAAGTTTTAAAGGTTTAATTTATTGTTTGATGTATGCATGATTTTTTTATTCAAAGAGAAAGGTTTGAATTTTTTTTTTCAAATTAAAAATATTCTGCATAAGTTGATGCTTTCACCTAATTATTCTATTATTGTATTATAAAATAATAAAAAAATGAACAAAATCCAAAAACAATTTACTTGCACATATACACAGTTATTATATGTAAATAGTATTAATAATAAATAAAATCTGGTTGCGAGTTTCGACATTTGCCTTTACTTCAGTTTTATTATAACAAAAAAAGTTGATTAAAAAAGAAGCATATTTCTTGCAGATAAATGAAACTTTTATTAATTATATAAATCTATAAGTAATAATAAATAGGTTATTGGCCTGCATTAAATTACATAATCTAACACAGTAGTAGTGTTTAGGGGTGAGAAAAAATTTTTAAAAATTAAAATTGATTTTAAAATATAGTGTTTGGTTTGATTTTTTTTTTGTTCAGTTTGAATTAAGTTAGAATATTAAATTTATATATGAGGTTTAGATCAGATTTCTGATCGAAAAAAATTGAAAAAAAATGAACCAAAATGAATTATATAATTGTTCTAATTTTTATATATGTTTTAAATTTTTATAAAATAAAAATAATTATTTTATATCTAAATCTATTTAAATATATTAAAAATTATATTAAAATAATATATAAAAATAAAAAAAATTCAAAATTGATAAACCAAATCAAATTAAATTGAACCAGTCAAATTTAATCTAAACAGATCAATTCCAAAGAAAAGTTAATTCAAATTCAAATTAAATTTTAAAAATTTATAATAATATGTATTATTCAAAAAATTGAACCGAATCCAATTCAGATGGTTATCATCTCTAATATTGTTTCTCCTTTTTTAGGTAAATCTAACACATTACTTAAGAAAGAATCTAATTCCAATATTATTTTCATTGGTATACAGTTAGACATGTATATATGCCGGACTAACACATTACTTTATAAAGAGTCTAATTCCAATATTATTTTCATTGGCATACGGTTAGACATGTATACATGCCGGACTAAACCTAATTGAACGAGTGAAGGTTGATTAGTGAAAGTAAATAAGTAATAAATAACAAATTTTTTTTTGAGAGAAATCATATTATTTTCATATTAAAGTTAGTATCCAATGTCAAAACATTGATATACAAAAACCCTCTTATTGCCTCTTTGCCAAACATTGCTATTCTATAGGTTAGAACATTGTTGTCTCTATTGATGTACGTGAGGTTACAGTATTAGAACTTGTTGGCTATCACTTTTGCATCTTCAATGATATATCCTACGCAAGAGAGGTCCTTGTCACTGGCATTTAGGTTCTTTATAATGCCTGAGGAGTTTCCTTCGAGCACTACTTTTTGTAATCTCATTTCTGTTGCAAATTAATTAATGTATAATCTCACAACAATTCAATTAAAAAATGAAAATGTTTTTAAAAAGAAATTCATGAAATTTCTCTCTCAAATGTATTCAAATTGGACCATAAAACCTTATCTTGATGGCAAGAAAGAAGAATTTTTTGCTTTTAGATCTCATGTTTGAATCTCATATGTGCTTGTTTACTTTAATTTTATATCTATCTTATTAAATTTGTTTGATTTTATATGTTATATATGGTGATTGATTATGATTATGATTATGATTATGATTCTATTTATAAATGTAAACTCATAAAAAGAACAGCTAGACTAGTTTAAAAAAAAAAGAAGAGAACAACTAGACGAAAATTAAAAACAAAATTCGATAGGAGATGCAATAATAAAACATAAAAAAAGATGTAAAGGATAAATTCTACATGCAGAGTTTACTTAGTATTTTTTTTTCAAAAGCAGATAGTTTGTTGGATTATTTTCGAAATAAAGAAAGAGAAAAATTAAGAAATATATTACATATGAAATTAGTGTAAACGGTATTTATTAAATATCGATGGATAGTTTTGTTTTATAAATGATTAAACTTTTTTGAAAGGAGTTTTTTTTTTTTTTTTTCACTTATAAAAGATTGGCAAAAGCAATTATTGAATTTCAAAAGATATAAATTCAATGAATAGATAAATTGATTGAATAAATTAACACAAGGGTTTGGTTAAGTTTTTTATAAATAAAAAAGTAAGAATCATTATAACCTTTGATGAAAAATCTATTCACTCTCGATATTGTTCTTACTTTATATGAAATAGGCCAAATCTTTTAATAGTGTAAAATAAAGTCAAATAAAAATTTCTTTGAATCTTATGATTATGCTATTAATTTTCTTGCACATCATAAATGATGGATGAAATAAGCCCAAAAAAAAAAATCATTTTACAGCACACTTTGAAAACATATTATGTCATGTTATAACTTTTCGTTTTACATCCGCCTAAATCAAGAAAATAACATAGTTTAATAGTATATTTTTATACAATTTGTAGCATGGTCGCTCATATATAGAGTAAATATCGAGAATAGTTAAATTACTCCTCTTTATACTTTCCCACTCTTCAATTTTTTTTTTCTTTGCTTTTCTTCTTCCCCTTTTGATTTATTCTTAAAAAATAGATATTGTAGAGTTGTACGGGTCAAGAGTCAAGCGTCTGAATGTCGTCCACAGCAAACATGGGAAACCCCGGAGTCCATGCAAAAGAATATGAAAAGACACCCAATCAGTAAAATTCTGCCAATTTAGGCTTAAAGAAAATCTGTTTCTGCCGGCGCCAGCCATTCGATTTTTTTTTTTATTCCAATAAATTAATGTGGGATCGGAACCAAGTGAATGGGTTTTGTCCACGTATCCACCGCGTAGCCGAAACAACAACAGCCTAGAAAGGTACCTTTAGCTCAGCGCCAGACCAGATCCCAATTTTGTCATTTTTAATGAAGGCCGAAAACTTCCAATCTGTGGGCGCCCTTGACTCTCTACAACTACAACCGGAATAACAGAAACAATCACCGTTCAAATCTTTGTTATTTGTGAAATAAAAAAAAGATTTTTGTTTTTCTCATTTCACAATTTCTGTTAAAGAATTTAAATACAACACCACTAAGATGGAGTTCGTCAATTTTATTAACTTGAATTGTTGAATACAAAGTTGATTCACTTTAACAGTCAACAAGAAAGAAATAGTTAACAGATAACGGGAGGGAGGCATATTTTCTATGGTTATTTTTTATTACCATAAAAGAAAAGAAAAGAAAAGAAAAGAAAGAGGAAATGGCATTTTATTCTTTTTTACATTAATAAAAACATAAATTAGTAGCAGCAGTAAAAACTACTAAAATATATGGTCTAAAAATAATGTTCATAATTTTAGATATGATAAATGAAACAACATAAAAATAATATCAAAAAATATAAAAATAATATGATTTAAAATTATGAAAAAATCATATATAAATTTTAAAAAAATAAAAATATGTTTTATATTTAATAATATAATAATTTTTTATTTTTTTGCATTTTTAATATTAAATAAATAAGATATAAATACAAAAAGAATATTTTATTTATTTATTTATTTTAAATCCAAAATTTGAGTTAAATAGACTAGGTCTAAAATTAACTTAAGTGATTTTAATTTAAATTTAACCATAGTTAACCTAGCTGTTAGGTGGGTTTGACTAGTCTGGTTTGGTAGGCGTTGGGTTCGTTCACTCCCTTCCTCTTTCTATTTCTCCACCCCCCTGCTTCTGCTATCTTTGCCTCCCTTTTTTAACCCATCGAAGTCTCTCGCAACTCTCAACCACCACCAAACTACCAACAACACGAAATTTCATTAAAAAAAACTTTCAGATATTCTCCCTCTCCATTTCGCATATACAGTTACTCTAATTTCAAACACAGATGGATCCCTCATCATCATCTTCTTCTTCTGGTTCCATGAAAGTTTCGCCGCTCGATCTGATGTCAGCCTTAATCAGGGGAAAAATGGACCCTTCCAACGCTTCCTCCGACTCTGCTGCTGAGTTGGTCACCATCCTTCTCGAGAATAGAGAGTTCGTTATGATTTTAACTACCTCCATCGCTGTCCTCATCGGCTGCGTCGTCGTTTTAATCTGGCGTAGATCCGGTTCTCAAAAACATAAGCAAATCGATCCTCCTAAGCCTTTAATCTTTAAAGAACGCGAACTCGAAGTCGATGATGGCAAGAAAAAGGTCACCATCTTCTTCGGTACTCAAACGGGCACCGCCGAAGGCTTTGCCAAGGTTCCACGTTTTGCATATACATATATTAATTTCTTTTGTTTTTGTTTGCTAATTTATTTTCCTTGATCATTATTTGCTTATTAGTTTTATTTTATTTTAATGTGATTCAGGCTCTAGCTGAGGAGGCGAAAGCACGCTATGATAAAGCGATGTTTAAAGTCGTAGATATAGTAAGTTTAATTTTGAATTTTTTGTTTATGTTTTGGAACTAGAATTGGTGATTTTAACTATTGAATTTTTTTTTTGGTACTATAAATAGGATGATTATGCGGCAGATGATGATGAATACGAGGAGAAGATGAAGAAAGAGAGTTTGGCTTTCTTCTTCTTAGCCACGTGAGTTATTTTGAATCATTTTCTTTTTGATAATTATATTTATATCTTTTGTATATATATTTGGAATTTCTTTCGCTGATATGGTTAATTTGGTGAACTTGTAGTTATGGAGATGGTGAGCCGACTGATAATGCAGCTAGGTTCTATAAATGGTTCACTGAGGTAAATATTAACTATAATTAGTCAAGAGTCATAATGAGTTTGCTTGTTTTTAGCAAATTATGATATTGCAGTTGTATATAGAATGAGAATTTTTTAATTAGCTGTTATTGAATGTGTGGTTGGGAATTTAGGGAAAAGAGAGGGGAGAATGGCTTCAGAATATGAAGTATGGAGTTTTTGGCCTTGGTAACAGACAGTATGAACATTTTAACAAGGTTGCAAAGGTGGTCGATGATGCCCTTACTGAGCAGGGTATGCTTCTTAATTTTCCTTTCATCTCCCCCTGCTTATAAACAAATGCACTCATTCATGGATTTTTAATTTTTTTACTTTTATTCTAATGGCTTCTTGGTAAAAATATATTAATATTTTCTAACTATTTTGTTTTGTGATGAATTATGATAATGCTTATGGTAGTGTGCATTGCTTGCTTTAATAGTTTTTAGAGTTAAATGTCATTAATACGATTTAATTTCTATAAATTGCTATAATGTGCATGTATTTAGTTGGCATACTATCAGAAGCTGCATTTTAGATATCCCATCATTTCAGTATAAAAATTATATTATTACTTAGCTATAGTGACTTTAATGTTTCTTGAGGGAAATGCTTTATTCAAAGAAAATGAAAGCAGAAGTTTGAAATACATCCTTTTTTTTTATCAAAGAGTGCAAAAATTTTACTTTTTAAAAATATTCTGCTTCAGTAAGCTAGTAGGCCTTTTATTGTGGTTGATTGCCATGAAAAACTTAACATGCCTTACAATGCAGAACTATAATGTGCATCTTTTGATAAAAATTTTTGCCTTATGTTTCCGATTCATGAAAATTTTGAATAGATGTGGCATTGTGATATCAGCTAATTTAAGTGAGTCTTGACATCTAACCAAATGTTTATTTTTTATATATTCAAATGTTCAAATAGAAATCTGCTGATGGATTAAATGCTTGGATCCATGTACTGAAAGATTGTTTTACAGTTGCCTCATGAACAATGTCATCTTATTTTCACCACATTGGCTAACATTCCTCTTACCATATTTGCAGGAGCAAAGCGCCTAGTTCCTGTGGGTCTCGGAGATGATGACCAATGTATTGAAGATGACTTTACTGCATGGTATTAAGAACTCCCACTCTGTTTTGAATCAGAAGCCTGTTCATTCTTTTACCTTTATCATTTATTGAACTATCTTGCTCTTTTAGGCGTGAAATAGTGTGGCCTGAGTTAGATCAGCTTCTGCGTGATGAGGATGATGCAACAACTGTTTCTACCCCATACACTGCTGCTGTGTCGGAATACCGTGTTGTATTTTATGATCCTGCAGATGCACCTCTTGAAGATAAGAACTGGAGCAATGCAAATGGTCATGCTATTTATGATGCTCAACATCCATGCAGGTACACTAGAATAGTTTTTCAGATGCCTGGGTGGACGTTTTGTTTAATATTCTTCTTTGATGAATTCTAACTTGTTTTGCTGTTTCTAACCTGAAGGTCTAATGTGGCTGTGAGGAAGGAGCTTCATACTCCTGCATCTGATCGTTCTTGCACCCATCTTGAATTTGACATTGCTGGCACTGGACTTTCGTAAGCTGCTTTCCTAAGTCATTTGGCTACTGTATTGGCAATTTTTGGTGTTGCAATAATGTCACCTTCCCTACTCTCTTCTCATTTCCTAGAACTAGATGCTGAGTGCTGCTAATTTTAAGTTTTCATTTTAACATCATAGTGAACTTCACCTTCTCATAATTGTCTTCCTTTTCAGATATGAAACAGGGGATCATGTTGGTGTTTACTGTGAGAATCTAGATGAAGTTGTAGAGGAAGCATTGAATTTATTGGGTTTATCGCCAGACACTTATTTCTCTGTTCATACTGATAAAGAGGATGGTACACCACTTGCTGGAAGCTCTTTGCCTCCTCCTTTCCCACCTTGCACTCTGAGAACAGCACTGGCACATTATGCTGATCTTTTAAGCTTGCCAAAAAAGGTTGGACTATTTTATTGGTCAATATATCATGGGGTCTTCTCTCTTTTTCTTTGAATAACTAAGCTAATTCTTTAATTCATACCACTTCCAGTCTGCCTTACTTGCCTTGGCTGCTCATGCCTCTAATCCAACTGAAGCCGATCAACTAAGAAACCTTGCATCGCCTGCTGGAAAGGTGATAGGAGTGAATTTATGTCAGCTTGGTTCCCCTACTTTGCTGCTTATTTGTATGCTGATCCAACATCTGGCATCTTATTGTACAGGATGAATATGCACAATGGATGGCTGCAAGTCAGAGAAGCCTCCTTGAGGTTATGGCTGAATTTCCTTCAGCCAAGCCTCCGCTTGGTGTCTTTTTTGCAGCTGTTGCTCCAAGGTTGCAGCCTAGATACTATTCAATCTCATCCTCACCAAGGTAATCCCATTTTCTTATCTTCTCTCTCTTTCGCTTTGCAAGAGGAAAAACTCCATTGTGATATTTGGCTTAATTTTGGGGGTGATGAATCCTCAGTTCCAGATCAGTTGAGTGTTAGAGCTTGCCTTCTTGGAGAAAATGACTCCACGATAAGAGCACCATGGAGTTATCAAATTAAGCTTCTTTTTTTTTTTATTGTTATTATTATTATGCATTTCCTACATTAGCAATGAAACACCTTTATTAATAGTAAGTTTAGGAAATGCATAATAGATGATTAAGTTGGTAGCATTATGAATCTCTCATTTACTGTCTCCAGTTTCATGTCTTATTCTAATTCTACTATTTTTTAATTATACATGCCACCTATTTACCATCTATAATTATTTTTACAGGAAGGCACCATCTAGGATTCATGTAACTTGTGCATTAGTTTATGAGAAAACACCTACGGGTCGTATTCACAAAGGAGTTTGTTCAACTTGGATGAAGGTACTCAGTTCAAAATGTTATCTTTCTCTTTTTCATAAGGTCAACCTTCGAAGATAATGGAAAGTTAAATGACATTTTTGAGGAGATAAATGATATCTAATTCCTGGTTGCTAACTTATTAGCACCCATTATTTCCTCTCCTCTAAAAGTTCCTCCCTGTTGTTATTTGCATCTCTTTTCCATTGAATGATAGTAGTAATATAGATTTTATCCCCATTTACCCCCTTTGTTTTTCAGAATTCTGTGCCCTTGGAGAAAAGCCATGACTGCAGCTGGGCACCCATTTTTGTCAGGCAATCAAACTTTAAACTTCCTTCAAATACTAAAGTGCCCATTATTATGATTGGCCCGGGTACTGGATTGGCTCCTTTCAGGGGATTCCTTCAGGTAAGTTTTGCCACCTTTTCAATGTTCATCATGTTGAGTGAATTTTATAAACTAATTATTTATATTTCCTTTTCCAGGAAAGACTTGCCCTGAAAGAAGCTGGAGCTGAACTCGGTCCATCTGTATTGTTCTTTGGCTGCAGAAATCGGAAAATGGTAAGTCATGCACTTCCCAGTCCTATGATTAGTTTTATATCTCTAGTGGGTTTAGGGATACATTTGTAATTAAACTAGAAAGTTTAATTCAATATTTTTTTTTCGCAGGATTACATTTATGAAGATGAGCTCAACAACTTTGTCAACAGTGGCGCACTTTCTGAGCTTGTAGTTGCGTTTTCACGTGAGGGACCTACCAAGGAATATGTGCAACATAAAATGACGGAGAAGGTACTTGACATATTTCACCTACCAAGAATTGAAGGATGGAAGCCTTTTGAATTGTTTCTTTTGACAAGTTTAACATTTCAGTTGTCTTACCAGTATATTATTTTCAAGATTTAAACACATTTCTCGCCTCTTTCCAGGCCTTGGACATCTGGGACATGATTTCTCAGGGAGGCTACCTATATGTGTGTGGTGATGCCAAGGGCATGGCTAGGGATGTCCATCGCACTCTACACACTATTTTGCAGGAGCAGGTATGTTTATTACATTTATCTATGTGATTGCCAGCTGCCATTTTGGAAGGCAATTTGATTAGAAAAAAGTGACTGCCACTTTTTCAATTCTATTCTGCAAGACTAGAAAGTTTTCTCCTTTATTTTGAGTTTTTGATTTTTGACATTTTAATGTCTTTTGGTGGCTCCCATCTTTAAGTAGAAAAATGTCACATTCATGTGGTGCATCCCTCTTTTGTTCTATTTTGCTAAGTGGGTGAACCAACTTTGGTGATTTCAGGGATCTCTAGACAGCTCAAAGGCTGAAAGCATGGTTAAAAATCTGCAAATGACTGGCAGATATCTTCGGGATGTATGGTGATGATTACCATGAAAATACAAACTATATTTATATAATATATATATGGAGGCCATATTGTTTGGACGAAGAAAGCAGGAGAGAAGGCAACTTGTAGTGTCAAATTCTCTGGCCTTAAAATGGGGGGGGGGGGGGGGGGGGAGGAATTAAATTTGTTGTCATCAAAGTTATAAGGTCTGTGATTCTTTTTTAATGTTGGGAGATGAAGGATTTTTTGGTTCATGTAATTTTATGTATACATAATTATATAAGGTATAGTAATAGACTCTCATTAGTTTTATATTTGTATGAACCGGCCAAGGGAAGGAGGTTCAAATGACAAGCAAATGAGATGACGTTGTAACTATATTCTACTGAATGGATATTTTAAGTTTGAAATCTCTAGTTATTGCTTCGATCTTTTTCTTCGTATTGGTACAGCTTGGCGCTGGATAAAGTCAATTTTGCCTGCATTTTACTCGGCTTTTGCTGTTACGAAAAGGTTTGTAATGAATACTTCTACTTGTTTAAAAATTCAACACTGACTTTTCAGCCATGAAAAAAAAAAAAAAAAGAAACCAGAAATTTAGGTTTAATTTATGCAACTATTTCTAAAAAATAATATTTAATAAATTCAAATTTTAAATCTTAATATATGTAATTTATTCGTTTATACTCATACTGTAATTTTTTTATAAAAAAAAAAAACGAGTGACTTGAACATCGACTGAAGTAAAACTTAAATGGAAATTAAAGTAAAAACGAAACAACATTTTGAGTTTGAGCAAGGGCATCCATTATGGAATTGTGGAAGGACTGCTCGGAAAGAGCACGAAGTTGTCTTACATGAGTGAAAATTCGCTTATTTTCTAATTTAATAAATTACTAAATTATAAGTTTTTTTTAAGACTTGCCAATCAATCAATCAAGAGTCAAGACGTCATATATTACGATTCAAACAAATTTCTATTCACTTCCCTGTTCTTATTTATTGATAGGAAAACGACAGCTTAAAGTAAACAACTGTTCTAAGCAATAATCATCCAAAAACAGTTTTTTTTTTTATTGATCAAGTCAAGGATTGTAATCAAAACAAGCCCCGCTTATCTTGTTAAAGTCAGTTATTTTATTTTTCAATTTTTCATAAAGTGATTTTATTAGTAAAAAAAGAAAATATTATTCCTCTGTCTCATAAATATTAATTTAATTTAATTTTTAATGATCGAATTTTTTAATATTGATTTCCTTTTATTTGACATATATTAATAATTAAAAAATAAAGACACTTTTCAAAAATTTTCAGTGAATTCAAGAATACTTTTATAAAAGTTTAATCTAAATAAATATTTAAAATTTCAACGATAAAAATTAAAAAAATTTGACTAAAAAAATAAAAACCAACCCCGACATCATTTATGGGCCGCAAGGAATTCAATTTTGTACAACTTTGACATGGTTTGGAAATACAATTGAAAATAAAAGTGATATAAAATAAATGTTTGTAAATTGATGCAAAGGGAGAGAGTGTACAAACAACATATTGCATTTAATTGCCGCTGTTGAAAATTAAGTCCAATCAAAATGAAATGTGACTGCAAGGTGTTGAACAAATTCTTAAATCAACCAAAAGTTAATGTCACAAAAGAAAAAATAAACAAGCGATTGGTCCACAATCTATTACAGTGCCATTATTTTTTTAAATTCTTAATGAAAGGGAAAACATTAATCCAACTACTTCGAGCTATTGGTGGGGACAGATTTGCATCACCACCACAAGCTTTAATAAATTATTAATAAAAGATAAAAACTATATTACTATTTGTTGAGGACAAAAAAAAAAAAAGGTGTAATGGGTGGTTGTGAAGAAAAAGCAACACGTTCAATTGGGTTGGTCACCTCTGCTTCACATACTTTCCGCACGTGTACTAGACTATCAACACGCTTTGGTAAGTAGCATTATATTTCTCATTCTTTTAAATAATAATATATTAATAATTTCTTTTTTAAAAAATTATTAGAGCTACTGTTAATAAAGTTTTTTTAAATTTCAATTACGAAAATAGCACATGTTTATATTAAAAATAAAAAATTAACTTAAAAAAAAATAAGTGATAATTTTTTAACTCCACTTATTGAATTAAAACAATTATACAATTTTATATAAAAATAAATTATTTTTAATACTTAATTATCAAAATTAAATAATTTATTTGATATAATTATTATATTGATCAAAAGAAATCAAAGAAAAAATTCAACATGTAATTCAATAAAAAATTAAAATTAAACTAAATTGACATATGACGTCCTTGAACTTCAAATTTAAACATTTCAAAACCTTTTCTTGTCATTGGCATTCGTGACACAAAATCTCAATAACAATCCAAAATTTTTTGAAAATATAATGGTTCCGATAATCTAAATAAGACATAAAATGTTTACTTTTGAAATAAATATTATTTATATGCGTTTATTATTAATATATTTGCTTTTAAAATTTATGACCACTTGATTTAAATCAAGGCAAAAATAAAAAATTAAGTTTTTAAACTTTATTATTTTATTTAGATAAATTTTATAATTTTATTGTACGTAAATAAATTTTTTAATCTTTAATTTGTATTTAAATAAAATTTTAACTTTTAATATGTACTTAAATTAAATCAATCTTTCTTTTGAATTAAGATTAAGTTTAGATACAAATGAAAATAATAATAATTTATTTAAATAAAATAAAAATATAAGACTTATTTAAAAAAGTAAAATAATTTAAAGATTTTTCAAAATATTTTAACCGTTTAATCAATGATAGTACATGATTGATATTATCTCATATATATATTTAAAAATAATAAAAATGACATGATAACTTTTTAATTTGGTTTAAAAAGTTTAAAATTTTTACAAATAGAATGTGAAATATACTTATTTAAGGATAAAATTATCCATCCAACTTAATAGACTTGGCTTGATTTAGATCAATTATTGGACAAGGTTTTTCAAGCCTAGACTTGGTTTGGTTTAAGTATTATTTAATTAATAATTTTTTATTTAATTTTAATTTTAAAACATTAAAATTTTTGCTAATTTTTAATATTTTAAAAAATTTTCAAGCCTTTTAAAGCTTAATGGATCTGGTTAGACTTTAAACAAAGATTTCAAAAAGTTAGACGGACCTCATCTGATGCAATTTATGTTCATGTCTAATGTAAAATAATCCAAAATTTAGGAGAGGAATCCTTTTTTTTTTTTTTTAATTCTTCAACTCCTAGAACAAACAAGATCTAATCTTATAATACAAGCACAATTGTAGTATTTTATTTTTAAAGTCGCTAAATCTATAAATCTTTGACATGCATAATAATGATTCTTTTTTTTTTTCCCTTCTCACATGCGTATGATTTCAATAATGCCAAAACAATCTAGTAACCTTTTTCAATGAATCTAATTTTTTACGAATACTTAGATTTAAATTAAAGATGGATACTTGACCTTTGAGATTGATGCCACTAAGCCAAGGAGATCATCATGTGTTCTAAGCAATTGACTAGGCATCTAGAGAAGTGACTTCGTTGTTGATCATGTTGTGCTTCAGAAAGTTTGATACCATAAAAGAGATTGCGTGTGCTTTTAAGTTTTTTTTTTTTGTTTTATACATATAAAAGAGAGAATAATTTGAAAACATGAAAAAGAATTACATGTGTTAGGATTTGATTTTTAAACTAATTGAATTAAAATTTAGATTCATCTTTAAGCAACTTTTGTATAGGAAGACGACCATTTCCCTTCTAAAAGCATTTGATATGTGACACTACTCTCATAATGTGTACCTTCAATTTTTGTTTGAAAACCTCAAAACCACGATGGAAAGGACAGACTTTTTTTTTTGTACTAACACTGTAACTTGGAGATGAAAAAAGAGAAAGCAAGCATTGAGATTCATATTTCACTTTTTAAGAGTAATTATATGAAGCACCTGAGTTTGGATTTCGTTTTTGATATTTCTAGCATTTGATATGAACCGGAAAACAATCTGGGAAACTTCAACATCAAGAGATTTTGATATTTCCAATATTTGATTCTGTCACTCATGACAACCATGAAGGAGCTATTTCTTGAGTTCATCTCCGACCTGAAAACCCCTACCTTCTAATTTAATGGCATAAATCTCATTGAAATATTAGCTAGACATGAAAAGCAATTCTTTCCATGGTAACTGGTTTGAAACACAATAGCGCGAACCATTTCTATGCTCCACATAATATTTAACTTGTATCTAAAAGATGCATAATCCAAATAATGTTGGCAAGAGCAGTCAAACAAAGCACAATTAACAAAGAAAGTTGCAGCAGCTTTGGCCACATATCCAAAAGTTCTATTTGAACCATATGAGAATCAATCTAGTCCCTATCAGCATCTTCTATATCTTCATCTTCTGGTACCCCGCGAAGATAGAGAACATTATTGCATCTGCAGCACAAAAGGCCCATTTTAAAATAAAAAGAGTCAGTTCATTTATTTTTAAATATGCAAAACATATAATATAATTTTCTGATCAATAATTTTAGAACTAGTGTTGTTGATAGATAAAGTGCACAACTGGAACATGGTACAACATGCAATTTCAAGACACAGCTGTGCCGATAGCCCATGGTTGTAAATTAATCACTTCTGTATCTAGGACAAAATATTAACTACCATTATCTGAAAAAGGATGCTTTACGAAGTAGGTTGCTTTCCACAAACTTTAAAGGGGATAGCAAATGAGCATTTGAGGTCAACTTTATGGTCTTTAGTATTCAATCAAACACATTCCAGAATGCAATATCTGACTATTATTGGGAAGATGCAGAAAAGATCATGGTACCGAAACTCATGCATTACTTATACTAGATAAAAGTAACATGAAGTTTAAGAAAATAACAAATAATAATGAGAAAAAATTATTCTTTCATAATGCGAGAGTAAGAAAAAGATGACTCCAGATATAAGATAGTCTAAACATGCAATTAATTATAAAGATTGACATAGCAGAAACAACAATATGCTTGCATATCGTAAATTCAAGGAAGAACAATCTAGCATTTGGAAAAAATCACCTGATCAAAATCTCCCCTAGATTTCCAGTGAATTGCCCATCGACATACTCTTCAGCATTGCCGAGCTACCAAAGTGAAGAAAAAATTTCAATTCATTGGAAAATGTTAGCAACAATGTTCAAACAAAATATTACGTTTAACATAAACTTAAACAAAAGACCTAGCTATATGTGGTTCCAAATTTTAACAATTGAATGCAATTTAGAAATTATACTATTTACAGAATTTAAGGTCACACCTGCAAGTTCATGTATGAATCAACTGAGGCAAGAAAACCTGCAAAAAGCACACAATCAAGCACAATGAATAAAAACTACCAACAATAAAAAAAGAAGATTTTGTTTTGGATAATCAAACATAACAAGAAAACAAAAGAAAAATTTTGCATTACCTTTATATTCCATCCCCCACTTGAGTTTCACAATAACAGTCTTTCCAGTCAAATTGTTCAAGAAAGGTTTCGGGTTAACGGGTATTGTCTACAATGTTCAAACAGTTTATAAAATTTAGATTCCAAATTACACTAAATAAAGCGAACAAAGAAGGAAAAATTGACAGATTAAATAAAATTAACTATCTTGTTTACTTAGCCCACAATGTGTAGAATAAACATAATCTAGAAATGCCATGGATTAAAAATTAAATCAATGGGTACACAATAAAAGACCTAGTAATTTTTCTTCATAGAGAAAATATTTTGAGATGTTAGAAAACAAGTGAAAGAATCCATACATTTCCAGCACATATAGTAGAAATGGAGCGGTGGGGGTAGGAAAATCTCTAAAAATTTCAGCTCACAATTTTTAAAGTGAAACTTTTTGAATCAATGCTAATAAATTATGGTTTAATTACTAATTTCCTAAACTAGTAACAAACTGCGTCAAGATTTACTGGGTTGAAGTCTAGATTCAAGAATCAATTGGGGGGGAAGTCCCTAATTCCACTGCTTGATGTTAGATTTTTTATGAAGATAATTATAAATTGTGTTGAAAGTATTGAGCTGCAATCTTTGAATCATATAGCAGAAACCTAAAATATATTAATAAACATTAAAAAAAAAAGAAAACAAATATGAAAGTAACTCACAGCCATTGAAGACGCGAATAAAAGAGGCTTCAGAGTGGTGAACAGAAAAGTTGGGGTTCAACTTTGAGTCTTTTGCCGGTTGGCCTCCACGGGGTTTAGGGTTGCTGTCTTCTACTAACATCGAGCTAAATACACGAGTGACTTCCTTTTAGGGTTGAGTTTTGTTAAAAAAAAAAAAAAAAGAAAAGAGAGAGAGAGAGAGAGAGACAATGGATAGTTGCGATGATCAGCCCAAAATTACCTTTTTGGCCCAATTAGTCTTGGACAGACCTAGATTTAGAAGCCCTTTGCAACCCAAGACCAATTTCAACCTATAAAAGTATGAGACATTTTTAAGACGAAAATTTTTGCTATTTTCCTCAAAAAAAAAAACTTTTTTTTTTTACTCCACATACAGTTTAATTTATCTATAATTATAGTGAACCCAATGTTCAAACAATGCATGGACCCATAATTAGATCAGTTAAAGGATTAAATACTTGTTTAAATCCGAAGGTGTTTTATATTTGAGAGGATTTAAATAAAAATATTAAGTATGAAAAATAGGCTTTTGACATAAAAATAAAGACAGTTTAAAACATAGGTTTAGTTTTGACTCCTCTTTTTTTAATTCTATAATATATATGATTTTAAATTTATATATTATATAATTTATAATTATATAATATAAATTGAAAATTTGGAAATTATCTTAAGGTATTTATGTTTTAAAAAAGTTAATAAAAAGGATAGAATTATTAATAATTAAAAATAATAGTTTTTAGTTTTAATTTTTTAAGAAAATAATTTGAGTGAAACTAGATAATGGTTGGCTTGAGCAAACATGTGTAATATCAATATCATGCTTAAGCCCAGCTTGGACTGGGTTTAGCTCGGGTATAGACACTTCTATCCATAATAATAAAAAATTCAAAAAAATTTTAATCATTGTAATTTTTTTCTTATTTTTTATTTCGTTTACTTAAATTTTTTTTGAAAGATTTATAATTTAAAATAATAGGTACAAAGATAATCAAATATAAAAATGTACCAACTTATATTTCAAAAAAAAAAAACATATGTTAAGACATGTAACAAACTATAACTAATTAAAAAAAATATTATACCAATGATTTGTTAAATCTATTCAATAAATTAAAAAAATAAACGTACTTTAAGACATTTAAGAACTCAAACTATTTATTTAAAAAGAAAGAAAGAAAATTTACCAAAGATTTGTTAAATCTATTCAATAAAATTTAACCCTATGGCAGCCCTTGTTCTTGGTTCATATCTTCTTTTATTATTTTAATATTTTAGTAGAAAAATGGGTTGAATCTATTTTAGATGTTGGTGCCAAAAGACCCAGTCATGTTGTTTGTTTTTTTGGTAAAAGGATCATTCATTAAACTATACTTTTCCTTCACTACTGTCAAAGAAAACAGCTAGCAGCAGCTGCACATCCTTTCCTATTATTCAAAACAGCTCCATCAACCAATATATCCTTTAGCTCGTTGGGACTTATAATAAGGCCAACACCTCTTCTTCGTTTACTCTTGTTCCTGATGAATCATGATGCAACAAATTCTTATTAAGACCATCACAGTTGATTATATTTCAATAAACAAGGAATTATAAGGTTTGCTGTTGCCTCCAGGTTTGATTTGGGGCTTGGCATCGAAGAACAACAGGATTAAGCTCAAGCCATATATAGCCCACATCGTAATAAATCTCACCAAAATCAAGCCTCTCAATCAAACAATTAATATTAAGTGCATGGATCCAAATCAACATTTAAAGTAGCTGACCAATAGCAAAAGCTCATTGAACAAATAAATGGTTAATTGACTCTTCTATCATCTTATATATAAAGGCCCAAGCCATATGATATGGCAATCTATCAGAAAGTTTCTTGGCCACAGGTAAAGAATTTGTGACACTTCCACATGAAAAACTTCAACTACACCAAATACGATCTTAAGTGTATTTTTTGGGTGGCTGTATTCCATCCGAGGAATTTGGAGATTGGGGCCTTTCTTTCTCCAAAAACGATCAAAATTCCAGATAATCTTATACATCTTCTTGATTTCCATATCGGATTGGGATGTCATTATTCGCTTCAACTGATTGGCTAGGCTTCCAAGTTCGTAAAAGGGATAGATTCCATTCCATTCTATGTGGAAGCAAAGTATAACTTATTATATATACTTGTTAGTCTCAAGTCTTTGATTTAGTGGTTAAAAACGTTTGAAAAAACATCAAGAGTCTGATTTTGAATAACGTCTCTCTCTTCTCTTTTATTTATATTAAAGCTTTGACTTATTGATACAATCAATATATATATATATATATATATGCCCTCCCGCTGCCATGTGGCTCTGCCACTGCTTTCAACTTGAAACGTTATAAACATTCTACAGATCATCATCGTATGCATTATACTACAAACAAGATTCAGTCACAGACTAAATCCTTAGGTGGAGAGGTGGACAAGCCTTTAATTTGCTTCTTCGGCTCTTTGCAAGTTGCATCAAACTGAAGCACTCCTTGTGCTTGCATTACACAAGAATAAATCTTTAGTAGTTTTTTTTTTTTTTTTTTTTTCATGTTTAGATGTGTTTCTAAATGCTGTTAAACGATTTGCGATGTTTGTTAAAAAATGTTGTTAATAATGTCGACTATACTTATATTGAGAAAAATAATGAAATTTCCTGAAAAAAACACTACTAATTAACAATGTTTTTTAATACAAATGTCATTAAATTTAGCAGCATTTTTATTAAAAAATATCACTAAATTTTTTAATTTAACGACATTTGTATAAAAAATACTTCTAAGTTTAGTGGTTTTTTTTTTTTTATACAAATGCTACTAAATTATATAATTTAATGACGTTTATACTCATAAACGTCACTAAATTTAGTAGTGTTTTTGGCATAAATATCACTAAATTTAATGACATTTTTACTATAAACATCGCTAAATTAAGAAATTTTAAAATTTTTTAATGTTTATTACTATAATTAAATAAAAAAATAGATATTTTTTTAAATTCATAAAAACAAATTTAAATTCATAATATTATAAATATTTAAATATCTAAATACATAATTTATTTCAATATTCATATAACGCAAAGTTTAATACAATAAAATTTGAATTGTTTTAGTATATTAATTAAAAATTTAAAATATATGAAATTGATAATTGCTTAAACTTGAAGCACTGCCATTTGATAAAAGATTTTTTTATCACGATTACTAGATGCTCAAAAACCTATTGAAAAAGTAAAATAAATTTTTACACTTAATAATAAGTTATTAATTATCATATCAAAATTATATAATTAATTATATGAAAACAAATTGTAACATGTTTAATTATATAAGTATTAAACCAAAAATAATAGTAAGACGATATCACAAAAAAAATTATTTAACTTTTTTGTATATTTTACATGATACAAAAAAATTGCTTCATGCGTCTATATTATGCATGAAACATGACAAAATATGATGCTTCATAATTTTTAACAATTCTCAAGACTATGAAAAAACTAAATTCATAAAATATACATGTTATATACTTGCAGACAGTAGTCACCACTATATAATGCTATCTCAAGTAGATCAATTTTTATGAAAATTAAGGTAAATATGCAGATGTGATGAATACTTTTAGCCAATATCTTACGAAAATTTACTTCGCTTTTAATTATTTGTATTTGAATTTATTGAAAAGTTTTGAAAATATAATTTTTAAATTGAACGAAATGAAACACACAGCGACAGGCATGCACAGACACAGAGCAAAAAAAACTTAGAGGCCTCTGAACCACTCAAAACACCACCACCAGCAGTCACCAAAACACCACCACTACCAGGACTAGCCGAAAACACCATACCACCAAAAACCTAGCAACAAAATCAAACACGAATAGGAGGAAATGGATAGACAGAGGCAACGTAGCTAACAATTGAATAACATAATAATAATAAAATAAAGTAAACAAATTATTAAATAAAAGCTGACAATTGAATGCTTCTTGGATTCATGCTTTGGGTTTCATGCAGATAAAGTAGCCAAATTGAATGCACGAACCGACCCCACACCAACTAAAGGCTAACAATTGAATGTTTGCAGGACTCATGCTTTGGATTTCAGGTAGATAAAGTAATGCAATTTTAATGCACTGACCGACCCCAACAATGGTCATGATTATTCAACACCTTTAAAGACAATTTTTACATTGCAAGTTTGATTGAAAAACACAAATACAATTTAAATGGTAATGGGTTCGATATCCAAAAGTTGGGTATCAAGATCTGGAGTATTAAAAAGTAAAAATACAATAATAATATAATTTGAGCTAGTGGAGGCATTAAAATTTTATTTTCCAAGGGGATTTAAGCATTTTAACAGTTCTATGTAATGCAAAATACAAGCAAAAATTTTGTTTTGTCCTTTAAAATGCAACGACTTAAGACTTACTGCCTCTTATTGTTCTAATCAAGCAAAAACAAAAAAAAAAAGAAAAAGCATACAAAACAAAAGGCTGGTAAGTGTTATTTACTTGGTAAGAACAAACGTGGCTCAAGAAACTGGAAGTTGGAATTGTTTTTTCTGCAACAAATTCTTCCACTTTCCCTTAGCTTTTCTTCTTTATTGCTCCATTGTTTTGCTCGTGTTTCACTGCTGTTCCCTCTTATTGCAAGGAATTTTTTGAGCGCAGGTTCCACCAATACTAGCCTCAATAAACAGCAACCACCCGAAAGTTAAACACAACTCTTTACCACCCTCAGCCACCTCTATCATCAGCCTCAACGACAAACAATAAAGGTAATAATAATTTGGTTCGGATTGATTTGATTTGATTTTTTTTTATATTATATAATATTATAAAAATTTAAAATTCAATCTGAATCTAATTTGAATCGAATTTTACCGGTTTGATTTATCAGTTTTTAATTTTTATAAATTATTTTAATAAAAAAATTAATATATTTAAGTAAATTTTGATATAAAATTATTTTTTTTATTTTATAAAAATTTAAAAAATATATAAAAACTAAGAAAAATATATAATTTGGTTCGGTTTGATTTTTTTTTGGTTTTTCACTTCTCGATCCGAAAGCTGATCTAAACTTAATATATACATTTAATATTTGAACTTGATCCA